GTATTCTCCTAATTAAATTATTTTTAATTAAAAAATAAAAATATTTATAAAAATATTAAATTTATAAATAATAATAATAATAATAATAATACTAATAATAATAATAATAATATTTATGAAGTTTACACTTCATAACAATGTTCAAATATGAATATATCTAAATAGAAACATAACTAAATATATCCAAATATAATAAGGAAACATATTATTAATTTTTATTATAAAAATTTCCAAATAAATCTATAAATTAGTTATTTCCTTAATTAATCTTATTTATTATTTTTATGTTTAAATTATCTATACAAGATGAATCCTACATAAATAAGAAAACTTACGAGGAGTTCAATTGAACCAATTGAATCCTACATATATGAAGGCACTAGTAGAGTTAAAGATTTTAAGATAAATATTTTAATACATGATTTTGAGTTGTTTCATATGAAACTAAGTGAGACCATTGGAGACGTGTACACTCGGTTTATGAATGTCTTCAATGGTCTAAAAGCATTTGGTAAAAGTTTTTCTAATTTTGAATTTGTTAACAAGATATTAAGATTCCTTCCAAAGAGTTGGATCCTAAAGTAATTGCAATTCAAGAAGCCAAGAACTTAAACAACTTTTTACTAGAAGAACTTATCGGGTCATTAATGACTTATAAAATGACGTGCAAGACACATGATGAACTTGATGAATATAAAAACAACCTTCCAAAAAATGGAAAGGATTTGACACTTCGAACAATAGAAGATCATGATGAACTTGATAAACATAATAACAACCTTCCAAACAATGAAAATTAGGTATGGGTGCAAAATCAGCTAATTTAGGTAAATCAACTAATTTCATGATAAATCTATGAAAATTAAGGTCATAGATTTTCTAAACAATGAATTTTTGGTGCAAAATCTATGGTGACAACTTTACTATGGGTCGGCTAAAAAAAACTTTCCAAAATGAGTCAATAGGCATTTGACTTTATTTGGAAAAATTATAATGATTTCAGTATAATGGGTCAAATCAGTCTTGTGTGCCTCGATGCCTCTCTATTACTTGTAATGGGGCTTAGCGAGATGAATGAAACTAGAAGACCTTATCTAAATTAGGGATACCAACAGGAAGGAACGAAGGAACGTAGAGTGCATCCTTCATACACATCTTTCATATTCTCCTAATTAATTTATTTTTAGTTAAAAAATAAAAATATTTATAAAAAATATTAAATTTATAAATAATAATAATAATAATAATAATAATATTTATGAAGTTTACACTTCATAACAATGTTCAAATATGAATATATCCAAATAGAAACATAACTAAATATATCCAAATATAATAAGGAAACATATTATTAATTTTTTTATTAAAAAAATTCCAAATAAATCTATAAATTAGTTATTTTCTTAATTAATCTTATTTTTCTATTTTTATGCTTAAATTATCTATACAAGATGAATCCTACATAAATAAGAAAACTTACGAGGAGTTCAATTGAACCAAATGATTCAACCAAAACTTAACCTAATGTGATTTGAATCAATCGGGAGCCCAACATCTTAAATTCATATATTGATGGGACAGAAACGAGTGGGGAGTGCATTATCCGTTCCAATCCCATAATCATGCAGATAATAGGAAGGGCCCTCTCCACTTAGATTTAAAAAAACAAAAAGAAAAAAAAAGGGCATTTGGATTTAAACCCAAAGTAACCATATTCAAAGTCTAAAGTGCTAACAACCACCATGGAACCCCGTTTGTGTGTTGACCGTTCTTTTTCTTTTAGCAGGTTCAAAATTAAACGGGAATCAATTCCAATTCAAATCAAACTATAGTCAAGTTTACGGAGGACTTCACAAGAGTTCGAATCAAACTATATCCAATTCAAATCAAAATCGAGTTGGTCTAAACCGGAACCGAGAACCGACCCGAACCAGAGAACCAAGCTGAAATTGATAAAAAAAAAAACAGATTAATGGAAATCCCGAATTTAAATTGTGGGTTTCCGAATCGGACTTTTTATTTTTATTTTTCCTTTTTTACTTCCCCTTTTTCTCACCTCCCCCTCTCCCCCCTCCGCTCCCGACGGAGATCGCCCAGGCCTGCGACGCCACCCGGTTTCCCTCCTCCTGTCACTTTGCTCTCTCTCAGTCCCCCGACCTCTCCTCCACCCTCCAACTCCTCTCTGTTGCCGTTGCGGCCCACGCTGACGCCCTCCACTCCTCCCGTTCCCAGGCAGAGTCCATCCACGCCTCCGCCTCCGCCCCCGCAAACCCTGCTCGCGCCGCCGCCTCTATCCGCTGCCTCAAACACCTCTCCTTCCCCGCGCTCTGCTTGTCCGCCGCCTCCGCCGCCCTCCCCGCTGCATGCAGACGGCCGTGCTTGAGTCAGCGTTGCCCTTCTCGAGTAAGAAGGCGATGTCGAAGTCATCGGGAGAAAACGGACAGGATTTCGAGTTTTGCGAGGTGTGCAGGTTGAATCACGACCAAGGGCGCCGGCACAAGTACTTCCCCTCCCACGCCCGCGCCCTCGCCGCCGTCCTTGCTCGCTTCCATGGGAAGCTCTCTGACATCCGCTTCTTCCTTCGTAATCCCTCCTCTCTCAGCCCTGAGCACGCCGTCCTCAACCACCTTTGGTGCCTCTTTTGCCGCTGCGACCTCCGCGAGCTCGGCAGCTCCTTCGCCTGGTAACTCGTAACCCCTTCTCTCCTTCTCCTATATTTCTTCCTCTGTCGAGTGATTTCTAGGGTTACTGATCTGAGATCGGTTGTCGCCAATAGAGTTTGATGGCTGCGGGTCCGAGATTTTTACATTTTGTTATATTAGTGTTTCTCTTTTTCGGATCGTATCTTTGTATCAAACAATAATCGGTCAAAGGTTTATATATTAGATCATTGGGTATATGTTTTGCAGTAGCAACACCATCAAACATCTGGCGAGCTCGGAGCATTTGAGGAACCTGAAGGAGTTCTTGAGGAAACATGGGGGAGGGATGGATCGGGTAGATTCTTTCAGGGTTTCTGAGGCGGAGCTCCTCAAGGTGACCAACTCTTCTCTTTTGCTTGAGGATACGGTTGAATTTAGTGTTGATTTGAGCTAACAATCGAGAAGGGCATGTACTGCATGATATATGGATGCAGCTGCGAACCACAACAAAGCATGTGCAAATATATGGTTTTGAGAATATTTTTGATCAACTATAAATACCTAATGAATTATGTAATGGTTGTCTTATGACATGAACAAACACCATGAGGTGGAGTTACTACCTAAACCATGATTGTTGATAGTCTATAGATCTTTAGTAAATAAGATTTGCAATGCAAAAAGCATTTGTCATACAAGTCAAAGTCACATGATATGCAATTCTTCTAGCCTTATGGACTTTTGACTAGAAGTTGGTAAACACATACTTGCAGTTCAGAAATTTATATTGTTCATGCAAGCTTCATCTTTGTAGCATTTTAGGAAGTCAAAGAAAACAAAACTGTGATATCTTATCATGGAAAGTCCAAGCTGATAATTGGTTGATGAACATGCAAAATTGGGACACTTTAATTGGCCCTCTTTGACAAGTGCCATGGTCACAATGTGCATCATTTTATTTCTTATTTTACCTTTTTGGAAGTATGGATTGTGTAGGATATATCATCACTGACAAACCTTCCAAATCAGCTTTCTGCGTTGAAGGCTAATTTTTCTAAATTATTCTGTATGCTGCCATTAACTCTTCAACATTTCTCTTACAAGACCATTAGAAGCATTTATACTGTAATTTGGTTCTGTTGTATGTTATATCCTGATACAACACCTATTTTTCTCCTTGAACTTGGGGATAATTTCTTAGCTGTTTGCAGAATATAAACACTCGAACAAAAAGACATTTTAATTTATTTGACACAAATCTAAATCACATATATCTTTGTATGGTTATCAGTATGTTTTATGTAAGTTGATTATACATCTACAAAGAAATTGGTGATTTGGGCCTTAAACAAACTCTGGTTGTGTATATCAAAACATTACTTTGTTTCATAACAGCAAAACATATGAATGGGCAAAAGTTCTGAGTCCTAGGTGGCATATCTGAGCATGATGTGATGCTACTTTGTGGCTTGCTTCTGCTTGATTATTATAAGCTTTATCATCAATTTTTAAGCTAAATACAACTTTCTTTATTTCTTAAGTCATACTTTGAGTACCTTTTTATTTTATAAATGGTAAATGTTGAAAGCATATTTTGATCCCAAGACCTTGTAATGATTTGACAAAGCCTTTATAGCTAAGCTAGCTAGCGCCTTTAAAAAAAAAGGTGGGATGACATTGCTTCATAGAGAATTCCATGGTTTGATACTTCAGCCATCAATAGAGTTCTCATGGTTTTCTGGGCTTCTAATTCAGTGGATTCAAATATTCATTTAATCTGAGTTCAAATTGTCACACCTGTTATAAACTAGTAGTTGTAATGGCATCCAGGGTTGGATGGTTCTACTCCTCATCAGTTGGGGTTAGACGTCTTGGATCACGTGGTTCTAGGCCCATTATGTGTTAAGTTAATGGGTTTGTTTCAGGTTAGATTGTGACATATTCCTATATTCCAATGGAAATCAGTTTGACTGTTGTTTGAGTATGAAGGACAAAGTAGCTGTCACTTCTCATAAGGCTGTATTATACTAATATCTGTGTTTCTGTATTATATTGAAGTTTTCATAATTTCCTAGAGTTATTTTACCTATTGGAAAGCAAATTTTGTTGGGTTACTTTATATGTCTATCCTCAACTCTAAAATAGTAGTTATTTGGTTGGTTTTTGCAATTGCAGTGGGAGAAAGGCTGTGAAACTCTAAACAATGCGACAACATCATCTTGTGAGAGGTCTATAGGACCATCAACCGGTTCATCGAAAGATATCCAATATGCACTTACCTCTAGTGATATGGACAATTTTGAAAAAAATTCTATCAATTCTTTTGTTTCAAATGCTTCTCATTCTGTTATGCCTTTACAATGTCCTACAAATGAGAATTATGATAATCAACATGATCCGGCAGTTAGTGGATCCACAATTGGAGGTTTCATCCCACATATTGCTACTTCTTGGTCCGTGGATATACAGGGGAATATTGGCCTTCCCGGCACCTATGTCTTTGGTAGTGTTTCAAGGCATTTATCAGGTCGGCCCTCTGTTGTTTTTGAAGGATATTAATTTTTTCCTTCTTTGCGTGGGAATGCACTTGAGATTCTTCTTGTTAATTTGTTGATGTTAGTTCTTGATGATGCCTTTATTATTTCAGACGGACATCCTTCATGTCTTGCCAGTAATGCAAAAAGCTTAATTGGTTGGCCTCTACGCAATGTTATTGTAAGTTTCCTCTTTTATCATGTATCTCATGTTTGAAAATTTCATATTTGTTGCACTTAAACAAGAATTTGATCGAAGCTTTTATGACATGTATCTCTCAACGTTGCTTCTCATTCAGGCTTGGGCTGTTCAGAAAGAGTTATGAACTATAGTTTACTAATCATGTTATTGCAGGGAAAATTCAGTAACATAATCCTGAATTTTGAATGGCTAAAAGGCTAACAAAACCTAATCCATTTGATAGGTATATGACGAACTAAATGTATAATAAACTTAAGTGCATTACTCACTGAAGCTTTTTAACACATGAAAAGTTGGTATGCCACAACTTATTTAAATATGAAGTCTAACTAATTAAACTACTACAAAGGCAAAAGAAAACCAATACGATTAAACTAAAAAAAATGAAAAAATGAATCTACATCGAGATCCTATGGTGAAGAGTTTGCCAACAATTATAATAGTTCCTTGATAAGAATGTTAGAGGCTTTAGTGGGCAATTATTATACTCCAATGTCATTATTTTTCTCTCTATTGTTCATTTTTTGATGTAAGAATTTCCAACAGAATTATTGATATGCTTAGTAGAATATTATATGCAGCATGGAGTCCTCTAGATTTTTGATGCAGGATCAAACTTGGATATGTAATTTAAAACAAGGACTACAATTTCACACAGTTTGGCTTGTACTGACCTGTATTTATAGGTCCGAGCCTGAATTAAGACGACTGATCTATTAGAGAAAAAAACTTAAAAGGTTAGTGCTTCAGTTAGGGCTTCGAATGTGAGCCCTCTTTTTCGTATGTCAGGAGTCGGAATTGTGAGCTGCTGGCTACCATCTGCCCCTCCTTCCTCCTAGTTGCCCATTGGGCGCGTGGACCTCATGTACATATCATCCTTCTCTTCCTCCATTGCCTCATCTTTTTTCTTTTCCTCTTCTTCGTATTCCTCCTTTCTCCTCTTCTTGCACTACCTCCTCTTCTTCCTTCATCTGCCTGCTCCTTTCTCCACTACCTCCGCTTCTTCCTTCATCTGCCTCCTTTCTCCACTTCCTCCATCGCCTTCTCTTATTCCATGTATTTCATAGCTTTTTTTTCTTCTTCTTCGTTATATATTGGTGTTCTGAGTGTCGGTATACTGATACTGGCATACATACCAGTCCAGCTATGGACGGGTAGAGTATCCCGATATAAAATCATAATCCTTGATTCAAAATATTTGTCAGTTTTCTTAGATCTTAACTTTTCTTGAGAGACCTTTGGATTTCTTTGTGAGGTACCCGATTGAGATCCTCTTGAAGCTATTCATTACTATAATATCTTAAATAAAAAATAAAAATAACTAATTTCATAAATATAGCAAATATTATTAGAAACCAAAATTGGTGGATACCTGACATTCAAAGAATAAGCTAAATAATGAAGTGGAGTATTGTTTTCTGTCCAATGATTAATAAGAATTTGGTAAATTAAATTATGGAGATGAAGATTCGTTTGATTTTTTTTCCTTTATATATATATATATATATATATATATATATATATATATATATATATTGTTACTTTCTCAATCATGATGTCCTACATGTCATATACTAAATGAAGACGTGGCTTATTCGTGCCACAAAATCTAAGCATATCATAAATAGATCCAGTGAAATTAAGAATATAATTAATATTATCTCACCAAATATCATCGTGCATATTTTTCTTCACAAATCTTACTTAACCAATATCATCCTTGTAACATGACCACTTATCACTAATAACCGTACATTGAAGTCCACCTTTAATAAATTTAAACATTTTAAGCATAACAATTATTGAGCTAAAATGTATATTAACTATAGAGAGTAACTTCAGTAAAACAAACTTATTAAATTTGACCAATATCATAAAACAATGATTTAAAAAGCGCTAGGCACTCGCCCGAGTGAAGCGTGACGTTTTAAAATATTAAAATATAAAAATATATAATATAATTAATAAATATAATTATTTAAATAAAAATATGATATTAAATTAAAAACGAGGATTAGTAGTGTTAAAATCTAAATAGTATATTATTAATCTAATAAATAAAGATTATTTTAAGAAATAATTAATAAGCTACTGTTAATAGTATATTTTCTGTTAACAGTAGTAGGGAAGAGTAGAGACCGGTAACAGGCGGTCCGCGTACCGACAACCTGTCAGACCGGTACGTACCGCCCGTACCGGGCGGTACGGTTCGATTGAACCAACTAACGTAAATTTAAGCGGTTCAATCGTCTTATATCAATCAGGCGCTCGCCCGAAGCACTCGATGCCTGGGCTCGGGCGAGCACCCATGCGACGCCTCATTGAAGCATGTCGCTTGGTCCTTAAATGAGGCGCTTGGGCCTCGCCTCGCTCGAGTGCCTAGGTGAGCGCCCGAGCGCCTTTTCAAATCACTGTCATAAAATGATTCATAATGAAACTTTTTATCATTGCAACATCACCTGCAATATCAGAGATCTAACTGCATGCATTATATGTTAAGATTTTATTCAATATCTTTTACTGTACAAATATTTTTTAATGCTAGATTGAGATATGGTTGGACTCCATATTTTTTTTATCATAACACACATCAAAGATCTATCTACATGCAATATATTTTATAACACTAGATTGATTTTATTTATTAACAAATAAATAAATATTATTAGGATTGTATAGTTCATACTCTCAATTTAGCATTTAAAAGTATTTATGTTGCAAAGAATATTAAAAATAATCAGTTAACATATGATGCATGCAGTTGAATCTTTGATAAAAAGTTTCATTATGAATCATTAAATGAGATTGTCTATATTTAATGAGTTTGTGCTTATTGAAGTTAGTTACTCTTTATAGCAGATACACATTTTGGCTCAACCAAGGTTTGTTGTACCGTGACATACCGCTTGGTATGGTTGGTACGTACCGATCTGACATGTGACCGGTACGGGCGATACATTGGTACGCCCCAGATATCATGTGTCGGTACGCTCAATATTGCTTGGTACAGCTTGGTATGTATTGTACCGATAGTTGGTCGGTACACCGCTACGGATCGGTAAGGTGAACCATGGGTTTAACAATTATTATACTTAAAAAGTTTAAACGTATCAAAGGTGGGCTTCAATCTATAGTTTTTAGTGATCATGTTATATGGATGATAATATTGATAAAGTAAGATTTGTGAAGGAAAAGATGCTCGATGATATTTGGTGTGATAGTATTGATTATACTCTTAATTTAACTAGACCTATTTATGAAATGTTTAGATTTTGTGACACGGATAAACTATGTCTTCATTTAATATATGACATATGGGATAGTATGATTGAGAAAGTGAAAGAAAAGAAAAAAATAGACATGAAGGAAAGAAATCAGATGAATCTTCATCTTTCTATGATGTAATTAAATAAATTCTCATTGATCGTTGGACAAAGAATAATACTACACTTTATTGCTTGGCTCATTCTTTAAATCTCATGTATCTATTAATTTTGATTTCTGGTGATATTTGCTATATAATTAAGTATATTTATAAAATTATTATTATTTATTTATATTTCAGATATTATAGTGATAAATAGTTTCAAGAGGATCCCAATCGAGTACCCCACGTAGAGATCTAGAGGTTTCTCGAGAAAGACTACGATGTCTAAGGAGAGTACACGTGTTAATGCAGAATATGTTAATTTTTGTGGTAGAGTTTGATTCTTTGTTGATTATTATTCTTTGCACAATTGGCTTTAAAATTACTTGTGTAGCCTTCCTCTTCATCATTTTGCAAGAGAAATTGGAGTATCTATTCTTTCCTGCATCCTCTTAACGGAACAAAATGACTCTTCAACGAGAGGATTTGGTATTCATTCATAGTAATTTCTGTCTTCTCTCCAAGAGAACTTCGCAATACTTAGGGGCAAGGTATGCAATACCGTACCGTACCGGTGTTTCGAGGTTGGCTCGGTATAGTACGGTACCGGTGTACCGAGCGGTACACTAGGGCGTACCGAGCGGTACACTAGGGCGTACCGAGCGGTACATCCTGGTATATCGAACAATTTTATATATTTTCTTCATTACTGTAGCACTGTAGCACTACTACAGTATAGCAATGTAGCACTGTAGTACTGCTACAGTGTAATACTGTAGCAATGTAGCGGTATCGAGCGGTCCGCGTACCAGTATGCCGTCGGACCGGTACGTATCGCCCGTATCGGGAGGTACCATTCGGTACTGCATACCATGCTTAGGGGGACAGATTAAGACGTGAGATTTTGTTAGAGATAAATTTGATTCATTTGATGCTGGAGTACTTAAAGTTGTGCATTTTTCCTTTGATGAAGCAAAGCTAGAAAAAAATATTTTTGATGATGTTGATGAATCATCGGATGAAGATGATAATGATGTTCAGAATGAGTCTTAGTGATTATTAAAAATTATTTAATGTACTTAATCAAATTTGGATGATTAGATATAGATGAGTTTAATTGTTTCAACTTGTATGATGATATTTATTTGTTCATATTGCTGAGCTTATAAAATATAAGTATAAATACTAAAACTCATATTAATCGTGTGTATATATATATTAAAAAATACACATGTTCTCGTTGTGTTCGTATCTTTATTTTTTAAAAAATGATGTGTCGCTATGCAGTGATTTCAATAGGCGCTCGGGCGCTCGGGAGAGGCGAGGCAAGGCCCGAGCGCCTCGCTTCATGTCCAAGCGCCTCGCTTCAAAGAGGCGCCTCTTGGGCGCTCGCTTGAGCCCAAGCGTTGGGCGCTTCGAGCAAGCGCCTGGGTTAAAACAGGCAACCGAACCAGATTTTTAGGTCTGGTTGGTCTTCGGTGCTTTAGTTGGTTTAATCGAACCAACTAAATCACTGATATCAAGCTCCCTCTTGCGATTTCCTTGACTTCCCCAACCCTAACACTTGCGATCGTGATTTCTTTTCCGCTGTCGTTGCTCTCTTACTACTGCT